TAGGAGAGTCTATGCATTGAGCAAGAGGGTCTGGCTTTGGTTTTATTAAAGAACTACTGGCTGTCAATCGCATCTTCATGTAAGGGTTTTCAGTTGTGCGATTCTTAGCTTCCTTTTGTGCGTTGGTCATGTCTGAGAAGGACTGCGGGTTGATAATGTCTTGTGCCCAAATCCTGCCCAACTCATCATATGGATAGGTCTGTTTTTTAATGCTTTGCCTACTTGTAAGTTATCTTAATATCCCTTGTTTTAACACAGCACTGCATGGCTGAGATCCTGCTTTGCCACAATGATTCCCTCACAATTGTTTGCCTCTGTGCCTAGAACCTAGGCATTTCCTCTGGGCCTAGAACCTAGACATTCCTGTGCCTTTGCCTCGCCTGAAAGAGCAAAGAGGTGTAGGGCTTCGCTGCAGATTCAGCTGGAACTATGAAGAGGTGGTGTGCTGGTGCAAGGGACGTGTGACTAGGTGGGCTGATTCATGGAGTGCTACTGTAGATGAACAAGACCTAGCAGTATGCCAGTATTTTAACAGGGAGGTAACATTGAGTAACTGTCACTTCAAAGCAGTAGAGGCTACACAGGTAAACAGAGCCACACATAAGGGTAGGGTGCAAAGCAGTGTGGGAAGGCAGCCGGAAGACTGCCAAAATAGTTCATGGTTGGCATAGACAAGCATGACAACATGATTATGACACAGCTTTCGCTGAGCTGAAATTACTAATTCTGTATGGCATCCTTTGGTCTGAGAGAGATGGTGGAAATTGCAGCTGATGAGGTAGATGGTTTGCAGTGTCCTATGAGACTGAAGTCCAATCCGAGATTTGCGTAGTCTGTAGCAGTGGTTGCAAATGTGTGTCCTGATTGGGGGGTCTGAGAGCTGCTTGCCTCCTGTGGACTCTATGGTTGGGTGGTCTGAGAGCTGCTTGCCTCCTGTGGACTCTTTTCTCTTCAAGGTGTTAGAGCCAATTCTTTTCATGGACTTCAATACCGTGGTGGAGATGACGATGCCATTTGTTCCGATTGCTTGCCAAGGTTTCCCATTGGCCAGGATCAATTCCAAATGCCTTCATAACTCGCTTGCATGCGTCTTTATAGTGAAGCTTGGGGCATCCTGTTGTTCTTGTTCCCTCTGATAATTCCCCGTATAGCATGTCCTTAGGTATATGTCCATCTTCCAATCTGCTCAGATGGCCTAGCCAGCGCAGTCATCTCCATCTGAGTAGGGGTGTCACACTTGGTAAATTTGCCTTTTAAAGAACCTCTGCATTGTTAACTTTATCTTGTCATTTGATGTTAAGTATGCGGCATAAACAGTGCAGGTGGAAGCTGTTTAATCTTCTCTCTTGATGTGCATAGGTTGTCCTTGCTGAGTATGCAAGCTTTGTACACTAGCATTTTGGTCTTGATGGTAAGGTTAGAGTTGTTCCATGCTCTTCTAATTAGTTTGCTAAAGGTGGTGGCTGCCTTTTTCAATGCAAACATTAAATTTTTCATCCAGTGAGAGGTTGGTGGTCACTGTAGAAGCTAAGTAGCTGAACTTCTGGACTACTTCTAGCTGGTTCTCATTAAGGGTGATTGATGGAACTCCCTGTCCTAGTACAACAGTTTTCTTAATGCTAATAGAGCAAATGCCTGACAAGCTCTTGAAAGGCGATCCATGAGTTCTTGTAGTAGGCCTTCGCCATGGGCTGTAAGGGCAGCATCATCAGCGAATAGAAGCTCCCTGATAAACACCTTTCTAACTTTAGCCTTTACCTTGAGTCATGACTGGTTGAAGAGTTTCCCATCTGATCTTGTGTGAACATACACTCCACCTTCCGTACCTTTAATCACACAATTTGGGAGTACCAAGAAGAAGATTCCAAGGAACGCAGGGGCAAGAACACATCTTTGCTTCACTCTGCTTTCATCTCAAAGCTGTCGGAAGTGGACCCATCAAACTGAACAGTTGCTTTCATGTTGTTGTGGGAGGAACATATAAGATTTAAAAGGATTAGTGGGCATCCTATCTTTTCTAGGACTGCAAATCATGCCAACGTGCTTATGACGTAGCTTGCTCTGAGCTGAAATGACTAATTCCAACAACAATAAAAACACTGTACCATCTGCTAGCTACATTGTCATGGCAAGGAACTGTAGTGTAGACACAGAACAGAAATTGACTGACTGTGCCTGTTTGAAAAGCAAGTTACACTAGATTCCCATTTACTACAGCATACATCTATTTCATGCACACAAGACAAATGGCACACAAACAACCTACTGGGGAAGTAGCTCTGTCCCTCTGCTTCTCTCCAGGAATTTGCACAGGCTGTTAGACAGAAACTGACCGTTCCTGCGGTAATTTCTGGCTGGTAATTTAACTTTCAGGTTTTTTTATTCTGAATAAAATCTTGAGATGCTGTAGTTTGTGAATCTGGGCATCAACTGTCCTTTATTGCATTTGTTTTCTAATATAAGAGTCCCGAAGGTTTAGCCCTAGGACAAAGTAGAGGGAACTGATCTCTTCATTTCTCTTAACAGCTGTTTGGGTGTAGCCTTTTCCATCAATTACTCCTAATGACAACCCATTACAGCACTTTAAGCAGTGTGTGTAGACTGATAACAGCTGCAGATCCCCCAGTCTGTGGAGGTTGTATTCATTGCTTATGTTCCTGCCCAGTAATTATTAATTGTATACCTAGAAAATAAACTTGGTAACTGCTAAGTTTCTCTTTGATATCACTGTTGTGATTTGGTGTAAGAGAAAAATCTAGAACAATTGACTAAATCTGACAGTAGTCTCCTAACAGTGTGTTTTACTTGAATATCAAAGGGAACACCAGGGTTTAATTATGAGCATCCTGATTTAGTGAGTCTATAAAGCTAAATCTGAAGTTGCTGACTCTTAATTTGTTTCTAGAAGAAAGGCCAATCCTGGAGGCATATTATCCAAAGTACAGTGGCACTTGCTTTGTGGGACTATGCCACCAGCTTGCAACTAAAATGCAGTTCTTTCCATTTGCAGGCAAGGTTCTTTGAGTAGATGCGATATCTTTTATTGGACCTGAAGAAGGGTGACTACACCCAAAAGCTTGCCAAGAACTTTTTTCCAACTACTCAGTTGGTCTAATAAAAGATTTTGTGTGCACAAACTCTTTCAAGGCATTTTTCAGGGACCGGGGTGCTGGTAAGGAGAAATAACTTCAGAGAGTAGCATAGTTTACATAAAAACATAAGAAATGTCGCTTACTGGGTCAGACCATAAATCCATCTTGCCTAGTGTTCTGTATCACACAGTGCCAGAGTGTGGATGCTGGAAGGGAGAGTGAACAGGATATAACTAGATTTCCCGGCCCCCCATTCCTTTCCCACTTACAGCCTCCAGCATTTAAGGTCTAGGACAGGGATTTTCAGCCTTTTTTAAGGAGTATACCCAGGGGTACACTTCTGCTGGAATGGAAGGGAGGTGAGGGGGGGTGGCCAGACATGGAGCAAGGTGGGGGAGCTTGCATGCGGTGGCACAGGGTGATGAATGGTGGCAGTGCCTGCTGCATGAGAGCTCCCCACCCTGCTGTGTCTGGCCAACCAGCCAGCACCTATGCAGCCTGAAGAGGGGAGCCTCTGCCCTTGCCCCTGCCTCAGCCCTGCTCCTGGGAGGCAGTGAGGCGGAGTGGTGGGTGGCAGCTCTGCCCCTGCCTGCCAGCATGTACCCCCTAGCCCCTTTCCAAGTACCCCTGGGGGTACCCGTAACCCCAGTTGACAACCCCTGGTCTAGGAAGTTCTGATTCAGAGGCTGTACCCTTAACTCCCATGCTCAATAGCTACTGATACCTCTGTCCTCCAAGAATTTGTCCAATCCCTTTCTGAGTCTGGCTAAACTGTCAGCTTCTGTCGCATCTGGTGGCAATGAGGTCCACACTCTAAATGCATTCTATGTGAAAAATAACTTTCTATTGTTAGTTTTTAAACTTACTAACTCCTAGTTTAAATTTATGACCCCTAATTTTTGTATTATGAGAAATTATTGAATAATAAATCTTTGATTCAGTCTTCAGACTGCTACATATCTTAAAGAATATTACATAAAAATGAATTTGAAAATCTATTTTATTTTATGTCTGTCTTCTTTTTAATGTGTTAGGCCATTTATGGATGTAGTACCTAAGCCCAGTGTTGTAAACCAATGATGTGAGCCTCATTGTGGGTGGTAATACAAAAACCCACCATCATATAACTAACTAGTTTCTGACTAGTTTTTATGTATATATTGAAAGATGACACATTTGTGTGTCTCTTCTCCTCCCCCCCCCCCCCCCCCCCC